AGGGGGGAGAATAGGGGAACCCGTGGCTGATATGTAGAACTGAATGGTACTGTAAAATTATATATATATATTAAAAAAAAAAAAAAGTAATGAGGGGCTGGAGGGATGGCTCATAGGTTATGGGCACTGACTCTCTTCCAGAGGTCCTGAGTTCAGTTCCCAGCAACCACATGGTGGCTCTCAGCCATCTATAATGGGATCTGGTGCCCTCTTCTGGCTTTGCAGGCAGGATATAGTGATATACATAATAAATAAATCTTTAAAAAAAAAAAAAAGTAACGAGAGTTGAGAGCTGGGTGTGGTGGTTCACAGCTGTAAATCTCAGCATCGAGAGGCTGAGGCAAGGAGGACTGCAATAAGTTTGCAGCCTGGGTACACAGTAAGACCCGACTCAAAAACAAAGTGGGAGACCTGTCATGGTGGTGCACTCCTCTAGTCCCAGCACTTAGAGGAGGCAGAGGCACATAGATCTTTGTGAGTTTGAAACCAGCCTGGTCTACGTTGAGAGCTAAGACTACATAGTGAGACCCTGTCTCAAAAAAAAAAAAAATTTGTGTGTGTGTGTGTGTGTGTGTGTGTGTGTGTGTGTATGTATGTGTGTGGTGTGTTGGGGGGTGGGAGAGGTGGACTGCAGAGATGGCTTTTAATGGTTAAGAGCACCTGTTCTTACAGAGAACCCAAGTTTGGTTCCCAGCATCCACGTGGTGGCTCACAACTATCTGTAACTCCAGTTCCAGGGGATCCGACACCCTCTTCTGACCTCCAAGGGTACCAGGCATGAACATAGTACACATATATGCATGTAGGTCAAACACTCATACACACAGAGATAAATTTTCTTAACAAGTGGGCAGGAGGGGAGGCTGGAAAAAGTATCTCAGTGGTAGAGAGCCTGCCTAGCATGTCTGAAGCCCTAGGTAAATAGTGCAGCTACGGAGAAGAGCGGAGAGTAAGCACTGCCATTCTCATTTTCCTGGGTACCTGGCTGCCATTGAGGGCTTGCAAGAGCAAGGCCAGGTCCCCCGAGCAGTCAGTCCTCATCCAGAGGACAGCTTGAAGGCTGGCCAGGCAGTGTAAGGTAGGTAGCAGCTCCGGCAGAAGGGAGGAAGCAGAAAGGACAGAGTGCCACAGCTCCTGGAGTCCCTGCTGTGACTTTGGCTCCAGCTGATTCTGGGTCTCCATCACTGTAGAACACACACACACATACACATACATCCCTCATCTTCCCACACCCTCTGGTTTTTCCTTTCTTAAAACTCCCAAAGATTACAATTATACACCTGGTCTGAAGAACATACAGAGGACGAGAAAAGGGCATCTGTCTCAGTGGAGATGACAGGTTTTGTGCCTCTTACCCCCCTACCCCATCCCCTACCCACACCCTACCCCCTCAAGCCTCGCCCCTAAATCCAGACTGGAACTGACAGGGGCATGGGAGGCCTTACCTCTCTCTAGGCCCCTTTGAACATCCTTGATAAGGTCTTCAGTGAAACCCTGGGCCAGGCTAGCCCTCAGGATTATATAATTACAGGTGACAGTCAGCTCCAAGGGGAGAGCAGGAAGAGCAGCAGGGAGTCCTGGAGCGACAGATGCTGGTCTCACAGGCTAGCCTGAGAAATATAGCCCAAACGGTTTCCCAATCCAGAGATCAACCCCACTCCAGCCAAGATGCCTTCAATAAGGAATTCATCTTTTGTTCAGAAACTTGGAAAGAGCAAGAAGTTCTTGAAATCTCCTGAAAAATCACTTCTTCAAATGTTGCAGTGTGTGTGTGTGTGTGTGTGTGTGTGTGTGTGTGTGTGTGTGTAAGGTGAGGGGGAATTCACCTATTGAAAAACAATTCCACCGGTCTCTTGGTGCTTTAAACAGTCTAGAGAAAAGATTAATAGAATCACTGCATCTAGGGTAAACATCAGAATGCATAGTTATTTTCCATAAGTACTTAGACTTTCAGAAATCATTGTGGGAAACAGTGATTGTTTTCTGTTATCTAGAGAGCTGTCTTTCTGAAGGAGCTTTACAGCCTTAGCATGACTTTGGTCACAACACGGTCCTGGCACACCTGGAGCATCTAGAATTATTGGGTACTGCAAACAGTACACAATAAGAACTAAAGTGATGCTTTCCTTCAGAAGAACACGCAGATTAGATCAGGGGCTTTGGTTTGAGGAACTTGTTTTACCCAAAAAGCATCTTTTGTGTTAACAGTCAACAGATACGCCTTTGCACAGCTGTTCGAGGTTCAGTCCACCAGAGGCTGGACCTCCCTGCTGCAAAGAGCCTAAAATTTATCTTGGTTTTATCTTAAAAGTGACCTTCTTTCTTTGATCGTCCTCAGAATACAGAACACCCGACAAAACAGGACTCCTAAACCCTCGGAATAATCACCTCAATCCCAGAACCGCTGCTGAGGAGAGGAAATGAGCCTCCTGGAAGCTCCGTCTTACCTTGCAAAGTGAGGAGGAGCTCTCTAAACCCTTCCAGTGTGTCTTGAGCCAACTGCTGTCGCCTCAAAGACGGACGAGAATCCCCAATCAGCTGCTGCAATTAGGAGGGGGCCGCTGAGGATCAGTCCTTCTCCCTCGTGACCGAGACAAGAGTGGGACACATTTTCCAGTCATTTCTGGTTCTTTGGACAGAGATCAAGCTCTGCCCCTTCCCCCAGGCTTAGGGTGAAATCATTGCAAACCCGCTTTCTGGGATCTTGAGATTACAAGGCGAGGGTCCCAGAACCATCTTACCCTAGTCTGTCCAACGAGCCGGTCATTCTTTTCCCTCCACAGGTCCAGGCTACTAGAAGATGTTTGGGGGAGGGCTGGAAGGATCTGGCTGCACATGGTCGCCGAGGTTGAGCCCCGTTCCCCGAAGAGGTCTTCTGATGGGCGATGCTGGTCCCGCCGACGCCTTCACCCTAGCCGCGAGGTGGGTGCCCACTTGGGCGTCTCAGCCGGCGGGCTCTCGGTGGCCAGAAGCTCAACACGCTCTTCCCGCCGCCGCCCGCCGCGGCTCTGGTTGGCCAGGCTGCAAAACTCTCGGCCACGGTTGGTTCTCTTCAAGAGTCGGTTCCCGCGGGAAACTGGAAAAGAGACCCGGGACCGAGGAGGTGGGAAGACAGGCCAGCCACAGGCCAGGGACAGACTGCTGGCCTTCGCGGGGGCCAGCAGTGAGACTAAAGTTAGCGGGAGCGGGTGTTGGCACCAGAGTCTCTGGCTCCGCTCTACCTTAAGAACCAACGGCAGCCCAGGTTTTCCCCTCCGTGGCAGGCTGGCCCGCGCGGTGCCTGCTGGGGGTTGTAGTACTGTGGAGAGCGCCCAAGAAAGGATTTCCCCACCCCCACCTCCACTCACTCCCCTATCCCCCCTGCAAAAGGAAAATGTCTCCTAAAAGCTAGGGACAGGGGACTGACGCCCTTAGTAATCTTCCCATCCTTTCTTTTTGAGCAAAAAGCCAGGGGAATCGGACATCCCTACGCAGAAAGAAAGAAGAGAAAAGTACTTGGCTCAGTGTATGTAAACATCAATTCAAAACAATTCACAGAAGAAATACAAAAGCACCAAATATAACGCTTAGAAAACAAGAAATCACCTTCATGGGTTTAACAAGTTTTGGTTTTGCTTCGTTATTGTTATTTTTGAAGATTTGTTTTTGTTTTTTTAATTATATGTGTGTCTGTGTGGGTAGGTAGGTGAGGTGGCCAGAGGTGTCCAATGCCTTGTACCTGAGTTTAAGGCCTGAGCCGCCTGACATGTGTAGTGGGGATGAACTCGAACACAAGCCTGCAAGAGCACAATGTACTCTTAACCCGGGCCATCTGTCCAGCCCAGTGTTATTTTTGAGAGAGTCTCACTATGTAATCCTGGCTGGCCTAGTACTGGCTTTGCAACCAACAACTAGTGGTAGTCCTCCTGCCTCAGTCTCTCAAGTGCTGGGATTACCAAAACCAAAAAAGCTGCCAGACTCAAAGTCCCACCTCACTACTTCCTGTGCATTTTTCTACCCATTTTCTGGGCTCCCTCTTGGTCTCTATGGCTACTTCCTATCAACTAGTCGCTGGCTCCGCCTCTTGGCCCAGGGTTGATTTTATTTAATAAATGCAATATTTGGGTTCACAGTGTGATCAAATATCCCTCAACACTCTGCCTTATTCCTTTAGACCAGTGGTTTCTCAACCTGTGGATTTTCACAGGGGTCACCATCATAAAACAGGTATTTATTTATATTTTGACTCATAACAGTAGCAAAACTACAGTTATAAAGTAGCAAAGAAATAATTTTATGGGGAGGAGGGGAGTTTCCCCACAACATGAGGAACTATATTAAATGGTCGCAGCATTAGGAAGGTTGAGAACCACTCATCTGGATGGTTTCTGATCCAGGAATTGGCTGTTTGGCTAGACTGCCATGGTTAGGAGGAGAGTGCTTATTGGGCACAGTATTTCTTTGAGGGGATGAACTGTTCTGGAATTGATAGTTGTCCTCTTTGCTAATTATATACTTATGACCATTGAACGCTACACTTTTGGTCTTTTGAGAGTCGTCTCACTCTGTAGCCCTGGGTGGCCTACAACTTGCCCAGTGGCCTTTATCGTGAGGCAGCCATCCTGTTTGCTGGGATTATATACTTTTTTAGACTTATTTATTTAATGTATTTATGTATCTTATGTACTGTCTGCCTGCCAGAAGAGGGCATTAGATCCCATTATAGAAATGGTTGTGAACTGCCATATGGTCCCTGGGAAATGAACTTAGGACCTTTGGAAGAACAGTCAGAGATGGCTTAACCACTGAGCCATCTCTCCAGCCTGAAATTTTATTTTCTTGACATTTTAATTTTCCTGGAGGTTTTGTTCTATTTATTGATTTGGTCACAGGGACTGTACATGTGTGGAGGTCAGAGGACAACTTGTGAGAGTCAGTACCGGGGATCAAACTCAGTCTTTACCTGTTAAACCACCTCTCCACCACCCCCACCCCCACATACACACACACCTTAAAAAAAAAATACATACTTCCAAATGGTGAATTTCGTAGTCATGATAGTACATGCGTATAATGCCAGCACTCAGGATGGTGAAGTAGGGGAATCAGGAGTTCCAGGCATTCGTGGGTTATATATATAATGAGACCTTATTTTTTTAAAAAAAAAAGTTAATTTTACTGTCTTAATTTGTTTGTTTGGTGACAGGGTCTCACCACATAGCCCTATTTGGCCTGAAACTCACCTTGTAGACCTAGGCTAGCCTGGAACTCAGAGAGATACTCTTGCCTCTGTCTCCTGGGTGCTAGGGTTAATGGTGTGTCACACCTGGCTTTATATCAACCTTTAAAAAGAATGAATAAACATTATGCTGAGAGACTTTGGTCACAAAAGATCATGTGTTAGAGGAGTTCATTCCTAGGAAATGACGAAATGCCCACAGGAGGCAGATACAGACAGAAAGCAGGTTAAGGAAGGGGAGTGTGGCAGCACATGGCTGCAGTTCCACTATCTAGGAGGAAGAGACAGAGACAGGAGGATCCAGAGTTCAAAGCCAGCTTTAGCTAGGCAGGACCCTCCAGAAGCTGGACGAAGTGCAAGGTACAATTTTCTTCTGAGTTGGACGGATTGTAGAGATAATTATGCAACTCTGTGAATACATAAAAAAAAAACACTGAATTTTATACTTCTAACAGATTTTCTCTTAAAATTGTGATTCAATTTGGCTGGCCTGAACTCACCACATAGAGTAAGTGGTCTCAAACTTTTTGAGATCTTCCTGTTACTGTCTCCCAAATGCTGGAGTCACATATTTTCCAAGCCAAGTTTCGGTTTCTTATTTCTAATCCACCTTACAAGCTAGTTAGGGACTTCCCCTTTGCATTATCAAGCCTGTTTCTGTCAGTGTAACCAAAGATCAATTAATTTGCCTCAAGTAATACACACTTTTTTCATCTGATCTAAACTAGGGTTTGATGGCCACTAACAATTTGAACACTCTTTGGCTGTCTACCACAGTAGTGAATGCTTTTATCTCATGACGATTATTTAGCTTTTCTCCTACTCACTAAGGCTCCTGAGGTCCTATTGTTGATTCTTCTTAATTCAAATTTTTATGTGTTTGTGCCTGAGTGTACATGTATGTACCATGAGCATGCGAGAGCCTATAGGAGTCAGAAGAGTGTGCTGGATCCCCTGGAGCTAGAGTTACAGGTGGCTGTGATCAGTCATGTGGATGCTGGGAACCAGACAGCGAGTGTTCTTGATGGCTGAGACATCTTTCCAGCTCCAGTTCTTGAGTTTTTCTTCTTTCTCAGACAGAGTCTCATGTAGTCCATACTGGCTTCCAACTAAGTATGTAGCTGAGGATATCCTTGACCTCTTGATCTTGCCTAGACTGTCCAAGTACTGGGACCTAGGGGTGTGCCACTGTCTTAGTTAGGGTTTTATTGCTGTGAAGAGACACCATGACCACGGCAACTCTTTTTTTTGTTTTGTTTTGTTTTGTTTTGTTTTGTTTTGTTTTGTTTTGTTTTGTTGTTTGTTTGTTTTTAGAGACAGGGTTTCTCTGCGTAACCCTGGCTGTCCTGGAACTCACTCTGTAGATCAGGCTGGCCTCAAACTCACAGAGATTCATCTGCCTCTGCCTCTCAAGTGCTGGGATTAAAGGCGTGCGCCACCACTGCCGGTGACAGCAACTCTTATAAAGAAAACATTTAATGGGGTGGCTCAGTTTCAGAGGTTCAGTCCATTATCACCATGATGGGGAGCGTGGCGGCATGCAGGCAGACATGATGCTGGAGCTGAGTGCTATATCATGCAGACAACAGGAAGCCAAATGACTGTCACACTGAAGGAAGCTTGAGCAAAAGAGACCTCAAAAGACTTCCTCCAACAAGGCCACACCTCCTAATAGTGCCACTCCCTTTAGAAGCCATTTTTTTTTTCAAACCATGGCAGCCACTATACCTAGCTGTCCCAGTTTTAACATCTGTCCATCTGCCATACAACCGTCAGTCTCCTCCTGACGGGAACACTTGAATGCAGTCCCAGTCCTTCTCTCCAGAGCCTCTTCTCAAGTCCACAAATGGACATTTTCAGGACAATCTCACACTTTAAACTTGACATGTGAGTGGTGGGATAAGCAGAGGCATAGGATGGACATAAAAGAAAATCATTAGCCAGGCGAGGTGACACATACCTTTATTCTCAACACTGGCAGGCAGAGGCAGGTGGGTCTCTGTGAGTTCGAGGCCAGCCTAGACTACATATTGAGTTCCAAGCCGGCTACATAGTGAGATTGTTTTTAAAAAAGAAAAAAGGAGCATTACATTCATTCCATTTTGGCTCTAACTTGGGAATAATCAATAGACAAGTAGATGAGATAAAGGCGGCACAGGCTGAAAAACTAGAGAGAGGCTTCCACAGTGGTGCCGGGGAAAGGGTACCAGAGGAAGGAACAGTGCTGTTTAAGGCTGCAAACACAGAAGCCTGTGCTTCCCGATTCCGCGCTTGTCTTCTCTGCTATCAGTTACAGCACAGAATGACCCAAACCAAACAACCAAGGAGGACGGCAGGACCAATGAAGAAGTCAGAGAACCAAGACAGCTTCTTGCCAAGGACTTCTCAGGCCCAGCATGCCCCGCCTAAGATCACACATCTAATCGTACTTGGTGAGAAGAGAGACTGACTTGGCCAGCTCCTCCACATCTTAGAGACACACGTTTACATTGCTATTTTATTCCACTTTGGTGACCACCCCTGTAGTCCATCAGGTGCATCCAAAGAAGGAGCTAGGGCTCGGGCTCCATGGTGATTCTCAATTATAAAACGATGGAGTCCTGGTCAGCAGCCTCCGGTGACACGGTGGTAAGAGGTGTGTCTGAGTCTCTCTTGCAGAATATCCAGCACTAGTATAGGTCAGGCCAGATGATTCTCCAGCTCTCTCCATGGCCAGGTGCCAACATGCGGAGCCTGGGCTACCTCTGCTGAGCCAGAACCAGTCTTCGGAACCAGGAACTCACGGCACCATCCACTCGCATCACCAAAGCTATGCCCAGGAGAAGTCCCACGCTGCTCACAATGAAACCTACGGCTTCAAATATGAACCTGTGAAGAAAGATGGAGCATTTCAGGACACAGGGAAAAAGCCTAACGCCTTTCCCTAAAGAGGCCAAACCTTGTCAACCTGACCTAGGATAACCATAGTTTCCTCAGTCTCTCCCTCCACATCACCTCTTCTCAAGCAAACCCACTTACTTTGGGGCAAACACCTTCCAGACCATGAGATGCCTTCGGAGGATGGACGCGGCCAAGGCACAGGCTAGAATCTAAGGGAAGAGAGGCGGGCAGTTACTTTGGAGGAAGCAAGGCAGAGGAGGAAAGCAGTACATACTACTGGAAGACACCCTGGGTTGGGAGTTAGGAAACCCAATTCTTGTCCTGGTCCAACCACTGACTCATGTGAACTTGGGGAAGTCACTATCCATCTGTAATGCTGACATTCACGCTTTGCCTTCCATCAGAGGGAGACATCAGCAACCCATCTCTGCCTCTGATGGAAAAGAATCCTGGCCATAACCACAGCGTTTCCAGTGTGCCTGAAATGCAGGGCCCAGATCTACACAGCAGAGAAGAAAGGATCCAGGACTGGAATAAGAAAACCCAGCCCAGGTCTCAAATCTTCCACTGGAGGTCTGAATTTGAGCAATCACTTCACTTATATGAACCTCCATCAAGGATCTTTCCCAAGGTATCTGAAACTAAGAAAAAGTGTAATAAAAGTATAATAAAAAAAATGAGGGAAAGGTCATCAGCTCTCCCATGTCTCCCCTGCACCCACCTGAACTCCAAGGACAAAGAGGTACTTGAGGCCCAGCTGCAACAGGGCTGCATTGAAGTGATGCGGAGCATCTCGGAGGCGCATCTCCATCAGTGGCTCCTCTCTCTCCTCCTCAGGCCTGACTCTGGCCTCAGCTTCACTCCCTGGAAGCTGCTGCCTCTTCCTTGGCCCTTGACTCTCACATAGGAAGGGCCAGAGCAGGAGCAGGGGGCAACCTACTGCCTCCGGAAGGACAGGGCTGGCATCAAGGGAGGACCCTGGGACCAGTCCAACCTGGTCCCCAACCACCCCAGTTGGCTCAGGCTGCAAAGAGCTTAGGGCCGAGGGATTGCTAAGAGCCAACAAAACCGCATCTTCCCTTCCAGATCCAAAGTTTTCCCTTCTTTCCACAAAGCTGGATCAACAGAAGTTAGGGGGTAAAGCCAAGAGGTACCTGCAAAGAGGATGTGGGAGGCAAAGGTGTTAGCTCCCACTAGCAAAGCAGGTAGCCAAGTAGAAGAGCCATGACCTTCTGGGAATCCCACGAAGGCTGCCTGCCAGTGGATGGCTGAAAAGACAGGCTGGTGGCCAGTGGAGTAGAAGGTCTGGGTGGCCAAAAGGGCCCACGCTGAGACTGCCTGCCAGAGCACAGTAAAAGGACCTAGAAGAAAAGACATACTTCTTTACAGTGACATCTCCTTCCCCAACCTACAGCCTTCTCTTCGGGGACCATCCGCTCCTAGTACTTGAGCAAATTGTTGCACACAGTCCTATGCGACCCCAACCTTCTTTACAGTCAATACTGCTATTCTGATTGCCTCGCTGCTGCAAGTTATAACACGAGACCACAGTGTTCAATTTTTCTTTCTTCCTCACAAAGAGCTCACTATGGCATAATCTATTCATACTGTAGCACTTCTGTAACTGAAAAATCAGGGAATGTGCTCTCGGGGAGACAGTGTTCCTCTAAGAAGTGAATCCTGAAGTCCCTATCTCTCATCTCCAGGGGCTGGGGCGGAGGGCGGGGGGAGGGGACTAATACGGGGATGGCAGATAAGGGAGGACGTCAGGAAGACCTTCCCAACTGCAGGGACAAGAGACTGTGTGTCCAAGTGAGAAACTCCGGCCTCAAGACAAGATGCACCAGGGCTGAGGTCCGTGTTTACCAGCGGTGGTGACTGAGGTCCCAGCAGCAAGCAGATGCAGGAGAAGGAAGCTCTGCAGGAACAGGAGCAGGAACACGAGGCTGACTCGCTCCGCGTGCAACAGCAGAAGCGGGAAGGCCAAGAGGATGAGGGCCGTGACCATGGCGGCTGAGTAGACACTCCCCAACTGATATGCAGCCACAGTCACGGGACCCTGAGCTCTGGTCCTCTCTAGCCGGCCCTGGAACTCTTCCTGCATGTGGCGGTAGATTTGGGGGACCACGTAATCGAGGTCAGCCTGAGAGGTGGGGGGACCTGAGAAGGGAGTGAGGATAGCCCTGGTCCTTGAAGCCCCGGCCCCAGCCTTCACCAGCACCGTCACGGGTCTCCAGAGCAGCAGCGCGAGCCCCGAGGCAGCCAGCCCCACCACGGCCCGGGGCAGCACAGCTGACGCCCCGGCAACCAGGGCCCGGAGACGTGGTGGCGCGTCATCTGCCCCCGATGCCAATGCCCAGTAGGCGGCCGTGCCCAGCGCCATGAGAGGCAACCCCCAGCGCACAAAGAGCACGGACGGCTCGGGACTCTTGAGATTACCGTAGCGGCGAAGCCACAGGCGCACGACCACCAACAGAGCCACCAGTGCCCCCACACAAGCTCCGTACCACAGGTTCTTGGCCCGACCGCCCACCACAGATGCCAGAGGACCCAGCCAGGGGGAGGAGTGGCAAGCAGGCGTCTCTTCGGGGCAGCGGTGAAAAAGCCCGGCTAGCCTTGTACATAGAAGCAAGCCCATTCCAAGCCTCAGGGCGTAGGTGCCACTGTGCCGCGGGGGGCCTGTTGGGGCCGAAGAGGCCGGGCGGGAGAGCGTAAGCAGTTTAGGTGGGAGCAGCTGGCCCTCCCAGTGAAGATGGGCAACCAGGAACAGGATGAGAGAGCCCAAGAGGAAGGGAGCGGCCCTGGCCTCGGCAACAACAAAACTATCGGAGAAGAAGGTGGCCACGCGGAGGAGCAGGAGTAACAGGACAGGTGTAGGGACAGGAAGCAGGGGCGCCAGGGGCCTGTGGGACCCCCAGCTAACCCAAACTTTCCACAGAAAAGGGAGGAGAGAACCGGCTGCGGCTACAGCTCCTAGAACCACCGAATCCACCTTTGACCCGGTAGTTAGCAAGAGTCCGGCATATAGTATGGCCCCAGTGAGGCCCCAGGCTACAGGTATTAGCAGCAGCGGGCGGAAGAGAAAGCCTGGGGATACTGCCAGCTGGGATGCAAGCAGGCAGAGAAAGCAGGCGGCGGCCAACAGAGCGGCACCCCCTGCCATTCGGACCAGAGAGAAACGGGCCCAAGACTGGATGCACAGGGCGCGAGCTCCCCGCAGGAACTGCTGCAACTCGGCAGTCAAGGTCTTCAGGGATGATGCCTCGGCCTCCTGGGGCTGCTGCAGGAGCTGCTGGTAGCTAGCAGAGGCCTTGGAGAAGAGCTTCTGCAGCTGATGAAGCTCTTGAACCTGCAGATCCTGAGTAGCAGCTGAGTAAGTGTGAAGAAATCGGAACACCTGGCAGGAAAGGTCAGACAGACAGAAACAGGTCAGCGGGAACAGAAACCGGGGCAGAGGTAAGGACAGATATTATACACAGAGACACCTGGACACTAGGGCTCAAATTCTGTCCCGGATGGGAGAAGGGAGGATAATGGAAGAAGGGCATGGCCGTGCCCTGGCAGGGAAGTGAAGATTGTCCGATGGGGTGGTCCTTGTGCTTAGTCACACCCAGGCCTCGTCCTGTTGCCTACCTGCTGGGCATTGATGTGCAGAGCTGAGGCCTGGGCTAGAGCAGAGGCGTGAGGATGGGAGTCACCGCCACCTGAGAACAGCTCAGCCATCACTTCCCCGATGTTCCCAAACGGGATGGGCAGGCCTAGCAGCAGGGCCAGTGTGGGCACAAGGCTGACTTGTGGAATGACCTCTGGCTCCTAGAAGGAAGGGAAGAACAGTTACCAGTGTATTCACCAGGCCTAGGTGAGAATGGAGGGAGGGAGTGTCCGGAGAGATGGTGCAGCGGGTGAGCGCATTTGCTGCATAAACCTGAGGACCTGAGTTTGGATCACAGAATCCATGACCACGCATGCCTGCAACCTAGTGCCATGGTGGGCAGAGACAGGATTTCTGGCCACCAGGATAGTTCCAAGTTCAGTGAGAGACCCTCTTTCAGTAGGATAAGGTGGAGAGTCATAGAGCAGAACTCTCAACGTCCTCTGGCGCCCTTGCACACTTAAGTGTGCATACCAGCACACACAGTGCACATATACCACATACATCCACCACGCACGCACGCACGCACGCACACACACACGCTAAGTGAGAGCGGAGCCAGATCACGTCCGGAAGAGGTCCGACCCAGGCCTCCCTCACCTCTGGAGGGGCACTAGGGAAGAGGGCTGTGCGGCTGTACAGGAACAGTGCAGCGGAGACCTCCAGCTCACTGTCCCCTCCATGGTCCCCATTCACGGTCATCCCATGGTCCCCAGCTACCACCAGCAGTGTGTCATTCTCCAGACGTTCCAGGAGTCCCCTGAGGGCCAACAAATGTGTCAGAGGGGAGAGAGGAAGAGGAAGAGGGAGAGGGAGAGAGAGGGAGAGAGAGATTGAGTCTTCTCAGAGGCCCATTCACCCCCACCACTGACTTCCATTAACAGGGCCCAAACCTCTGTCAAAAAGATACCTCTTCAGTCATAGCCCTGCAGCCCAGAGCTACATACCAAGTTATTCAAAATGGACGGTGCCCCCAGGTTTTGGGGAAAAGGCCCGTATAAAATAATTCAGAGCCAGGGCATGGTAGTGCACGCCTTTAATCCCAGCACTTAGAAGCAGCCAGACGCAGGTGGATCTCTGTGAGTTCGAGTCCAGCCTGATCTAGTTTATATTGCAAGTTCCAGGTCAGCCAGAGCTACATAGCTACATAATGAAACACTTTCAAAATACATACATACATACATACATACATACATACATACATATATATGTACATACGTATGTAGATTTCATCCAGAAAAGAGGCTCCAAATAAGGGTTTTTTGTTTGTTTGTTTTTTTCTCATAGAATGCTATGTCCTGAGATTCTCAAACATAAACCCATTTCCCCCAGCCAGTATCCCACACTCACTGGATCACCTGGTCCATCTGGCTAAGTTTCTTGGCCATTTCAGGGTGGTGAGGCCCATGCTTGTGACCACAATGATCCACACCCAGGAAGTGGGCAATCAGCACGTCCCATGAGCCACTGTCCACTGTGGAGGGGAGAACAATGAGCCTACTCCTCACCCCAAGCCAGGCCTTGACATTCCTCTATGTCCAGGGACCCAACCACAGGCTCTGCCACCCCCACAATCTGTAGACACCCTCCCCGACTCCCAGGGTGGGCAGGCACGATGTGCTTTCCCCGTGCTCACTGGTAGGGTAGAGATGTTCCAGGATGCCATTGTCCACTGTGTGGAGGTCTCTGACATTGAAGGACGAGAAGAAGAAAGCTTGGGAAAACGCTCCAGGGAAAAGGTCCTTCCAGGTATCATCTCCCATGAAAACTATACGCCTACCTGCAGAGACAAGAGGGGAATCAGAGCAAACCTTGTTCATGTGAGAACCAGAGCAGGGGATATTATGACAGAAGTCTCTAAAAAAAACCAACAAAGAGAAGGTGAGACATCTCTGTGGGTCAAAGTGCTTACCACCAAGCCTGACAACTTGATTTCAATACTCAGAACCCACATAGTGGAAAAGGAGAAAATCAACTTCTAAAGTAGTACTCTTTTTTTTCCGTTTTGTTTTGTTTTTCAAGACGGGGTTTCTCTGTGTAGCTTTGCGCCTTTCCTGGAACTCGCTTTGGAGACCAGGCCGGCCTTGAACTCACAGAGATCCGCCTGGCTCTGCCTCCCGAGTGCTGGGATTAAAGGCGTGTGCCACCACCACCGCCTGGCTGCTAAAGTTGTACTCTTAATTCCACACGTGTACCATGGCATGTGCACTTGCACAAATACACTCTGTGTGTGTGTGTGTGTGTGTGTGTGTGTACACATATCCAATAGGAATCTCAACCACATATCTCCAAGAATAGGAATTCATTCAGCATCACCTAAAATTTCCCATCAAGCTTTCTCTGATAACCACATTCCCTCTAGAACTATCACTTCCATTCCTACAAAATGACCTGTAGGGTATCTGCTGACAGTTCTCACTATATATATCAGGCTAATCTGGAACTCAGAGATCCTCTTGCCTCTGCCTCCTGAGTGCTGGGATTAAAGGCGTGCACCATGCTCTCTGCCCTTGGCCTACTTTTTTTTATATGCAGTCAGTGAACACAACTTGGATACTTAGACTCTTTTCTCCACACTTGCAAGCCAAGACACCTGTCTTCATTTCTTCCTTAATTGGAGCTCCCAAGAGTAAAACATTTTGTGCACATTAGAAGCTTCATCAAGGCCAAAAATCTCTTGAGCTTTCCACAAGCAAGGTCCCATCTATTTCTACTCCCCAGTTTCCCTACACCATAGTCAAACACAGAGCTGGGTACCCTAAGTCCTGGCCCCGTAACTTCTGAAAGCCCAGGTACGCCTGGCTTCCAAAGGAGTCCATACTGACCTGCATTGGTGAGCTGCTTAATGAGATTATCTTCCACTATAGCATGGCTGGCAAAGTTACTGCCAGCATCAATAAAGGTAGGCAGTGAGCCGGTGGTGAGAGCCTTGAGACGCTGCATGGTGGTCGTGGGGGGATCCACCTGAGATCGGTATAGCCGGGCGTGGTGGGGTTGAATCTCTAGGATCCTCTGCAAAGAGCCTAATTTTCCCAGAAAAGGCACGGAGGCAGGAGGTTCCCCAGGTACATGTGAGCGCTGGGGCTGGGCAAAGTCAAATCGCAGAGCATCTATCAGCACCAACACAAGCCTGGAGAACCGAGAAGGCATCCAGCAGGCTCCAGGCTTTCCTTGGCTCCCCCCTGGCAGGGAACCAGGGCCTGGGAGCTCTTGGCAGCTGCTTTGGTTGGTGAGCTCCAAACGCGTGAGAAGGAAGCCACTGGTGAAGAGCGCAATGCCAGCGTAGAAAAGAAAACAGACCCAGGCTAAGAAGAGGAGCACGGGGACCTTCTGCATCCTGGTAGAGAAGAGGAAAATTTTGCGGTGCAAAAAAAAGATTGGACATTTTGGGCCTCAAAATAATGCCCAATAACAACCACTTACTGCTATGAAAACTTCAGGATGTAAACAACTCATAGCCAGCTGTTTCTACAAGTTATACCATCTGAGGGAGAGATGCTGAAACTCTGGATCTCAACCTGGAGCCCACGCTACACCTACTGATTCAGGCTCTGGACGTGAGCACAGCAACCTGTGCATATATATACAAGCATGCTGTCAAACCACAGTCTAGAAGGATGACTATTCCAAATGGTAGGTAGAGTGTTCTCTGTCAGTTCAATGACTATCTCAACATTCCTAGGGTGACACTAGGTAAGAGCCACACGGAAAATCGGAGAGAGTAAACGGCGCCGCCTGGCGGGGACCGAGGAGACGAGGGGGAGGAGTCACGCTCCGCTTCCGGACGACCAGGATCAACAGAAAACCAGAGGAACGGCGTCCCAGGAACCCCGTAGAGATCCCATTGAGCTAAGGTGGGATCCAGGAGTCCCGGCGGCTCGGTCTCCTCCGGTGGGAACCCGGCCAACACGTGGGCATGCTCCCTCCGGGGCTGGGCACCCCGGCAGCAAGCTGAGGCACCTGTGCTAGGGGTGACGGTAATAGAGGGAGACCTTGGCTCACCTGGATCCGCGCCCGGAAGTGCGGCGGCGGTGCCTGCAGCCTGACACCACAGAGGTGTGCACGTCTGACAGAGCGCCCTACCAGGAGATTCGTCGCCACCTGCCGGCACCAGGGTGGAAGTTCGACAAGGAACGCAGGGCTGGCAAGTTTGCTGGGAGGAACTCATAAATGGAGGCAAGGCACTAATCTAAGAGTTGGGAGGACGACCGGGTGTGTACATACACATGGAAGAAAAAAAGTTCAGGGATCACTGTTTTTTAAATATGCATTTATGTGTATGTGTGTTTTGTGTACCTGAGTGTATTTGTGTAGCAAATGCATTTAGTGCTGCAATTGCTCTTAACCACTAAGCCATCTTTCCAGATTCACTGTTCATTTTTTGACACGAGGTCTATTATGTAGCTCTAGCTGTCCTGAAACTTGCTATGTAGACCAGTCCGGCCTCAAACTCACAGAGATCCACCTGCCTCTGCCTCCTGAGTGCTGGGATAAAAGGCGTGGGCCACCACACCTGGCCTTCACTGTCCGTTTTTTGTTAGCACTAAAAGCATGGCTTCTGGAGTCAAATTTGCTCTGTAAGCAGTTCGTCACTGGGCATGGTCATCCGTAAAATAACCCTGGGCTGGGGAGATGGCTCAGTAATTCAAGTGCTTGCCACATAATCATAAAAACTACAGTTTGAACTCCCAGAAACCCACTTAAAGGCTGGGTGAGCATGTGGCCCAGTAATCCAGTCCCAAGCAGGGTATTGCCAGATTGTGGCTAGCTAGACTATTCATATTGTCAAGCTCTGAGTTTGATGACCAGATCCTACTTCAATGAGTAAGGTGGAAAAAAGATGGGAGGATTATTCCTGGCATCACACACACACACACACACACACACACACACACACACACACACACGACATGGAAAAGGAAAAACCTTTTTTTCTCTTCTGTCTTTAGCTGATTCCAGTTGACAGCATTCATCAATGCTCTCAAAACTGTTAGCTGAATCTTAAATATACATTAATAGGGGCTGGAAAGATGGCTCACTGGTTAAGACCACTTGTTTTTGCAGAGGACCTGGGTTCAATTTCCAGCACCCACATGAAGGCTCAAAACCATACACAACTCCAGTTCCAAGAGACCCAAAGCCCTCTTCTGATCCTCAAAGGCTCCAGGCACATGTATGGTATTATATATACATGTGAGGAAAAACACTCACCACATAACAAAATTTAATGAATAAAAATTAAGTGATGCAATTTAAAGATGAACAATGGGCCTCTAGACGTTTCTCTAAAAAGGATACACATAGCCAATAAACACATGGGAAGATTCTCAACATCATTAGCTATCTGGGAGAATTAGCACTTTAAATGTATTAGTTTGGACTGTGGATGTAGCTCAGCAGTACAGTACTTGACTGGCATCTCTGGGTTCAATCCCTAACACACCAAAGAAAACAGCTGGAATGGTAGCTCATGCTTACAATCCCGGGACTAAGGATTGCCACAAGCTCAAGGCCAGCTGGTGCCTGCACAGAGACCCACACAAGGAGGAAGAAAGATGATTGCAAGTGTTAGCAAGGATGTGCAGACGCGGGAACTTCCACACAGGTGGGGACTGTAAGATGGCACAGCGGGGCTGGAAGGCAGCTTCTCAAAAGGTTTAGCTGCTCTGTTGCCCAGAAATTCCACGCCTACATGCTGGGGGTGTCTTTCTGTACGCTGTGATGTGTTGCTCTGATTGGCCAGTAGCCAGGCAGGAAGTATAGCATAGGCAGGATAAGCAGAGAGGAGGATTCTGGGCAGTGGAAGGCTGAGTCAGGAGACGCTGCCAGCCACTGCCAGCCACTGCCATGAGAAGTAAGATGTAAAGTACCAGTAAACCACAAGCCATGTGGCAACTTATAGATTAATAGAAATGGGTTAATTTAAGATAGAAGAACTAGATAGCAAGAAACCTGCCACGGCCATACAGTTTATAAGTAATGTAAGTCTCTGTGTGTTTACTTGGATCTGAGCGGCTGCAGGAGCCGGGTGGACACAGGAAAACTCCAGCTACACCTACATAGATACCCAGGTGTGATGCATAATGTTAACTGTCAACTTGACAGACTCTAAAATCACCTGGGAGATGGGCTTCTGGACATGCCTACTGTAGGGCTTATCTTGGTTGTTAGTTGAGGTGGGAAGAAGACATGTTCACTGTGGATGGCACCATTCCTTAGGCAGGAGACAGAGTGAGCTGAGTGATGGCAAGCATTCGATGAATGCCTACTCTCATTGTTCTTCTGATTACAGATGTGGCCAGCTGCTTCAAGTTCTTCTAAGAGTTTATTTTTAGTTATTTAGTGTGTTTGTGTGTGAGTATGTGCATGTGAGTGCAGGAGCATTATGAAGGTTGCAGTGTTGGGTTCTGATGGAATTGGAGTTAGATAAGGTTGCAGTTTCCCGGTTGTCGATGCTGGGAAATGAACTCTGCTCTTCTCCAAGAGCAGTACATGCGCTTTACTTTCTCTCTCTCTCTCTTTTTAATTTAATTTTATGTGCATTGGTGTGAGGGTGTCAGATCCCCTGGAACTGGAGTTACAGACAGTTGTGAGCTGCCATGTGGGTGCTGGGAATTGAACCTGGGTCCTTCGGAAGAGCAGCCAGTCTCTTAACTACTGAGTCAGCTCTCCAGTTCTTACTGCTGTGACTTCCCTGCCATGATGGACTGAAACTTGAAACTGTTTGCTAAATAAACCTTCTCCTTTAGATTTTTTTGCCAGAGCATTTTATCACAGTAACAAAAAGAGAAACTAACACACTAAGATAAATTAAAACATGTCTTTAAAAATACATCTAGGGCTGGAGAGATGGCTCAACAGTTAAGAGCACAGGCTATTCTTCCTGAGGTCTTGAGTTCAATTCCCAGCACCCACATGGTGGCTCACAACCATCTATAATGAGATCTGATGCCTTCTTCTGGCCTACAGACATACATGCAGGCAGAGCATTGTATATAAATAAATAAATTTTAAAAAATACATCTAAATAAAAACCTATATGTGCCAGGTGGTGGTGGGGAACACCCTTAATCCCAGCACTAGGGAGGCTGAGGCAGGTGGCTTTCTGAGTTTGAGGCCAGGCTGGTCTACAGAGCAAGTTCCAGGACAGCCAGGGCTACACAGAGAAACTGTCTCCAAAAACCAAAAATCCAAACAAAACCTATATGTAAACATCCAAAGTAGCATCTGGAATTACCAAAAGATAAAAACTCAAATTTCTATTAGTGAATGGATAAACAAAACCTGGTGCTTGCATGCAATAGTGTACGTAGGGAGGGGGAAAATGTTCTAAATTTGTGCTTACACATAGTCTGTAAATATGTTAAAATTTACTGGATTTATTATTATTATTATTATTGGTTTTTTGAGACAGGGTTTATCTGTGTAGCTTTGGAGCCTGTCCTGGAACTCACTTTGTAGACCAGGCTGGCCTCGAACTCAGAGATCCACCTGTCTTTGCCTCCGGAGTGCTGGGATTAAAGGTGGGATTTATTATTTAAATTACATTTAAAATGAGAAAGTTAAACCGGGCAGTGGTGGCGCATGCCTTTAAGCCCAGCACTCAGGAGGCAGAGCCAGGCGGATCTCTGTGAGTTCGAGGCCAACCTGGTTTACAGAGGAAGTTCCTGGGACAGCCAGGGCTACACAGAGAAACCCTGTCTCAAAAAAAAAAAATAAATAAATAAATAAAATGAGAAAGTTGGGTGATGGAGGTGCAGCTCCGTTGACAGAGTGCTTGCCTAGCCTGTATAAAGCCCCGGGTTAGATCTCCAGCACTCCACAGAACCCGGCATAGCTGCATCCATCTGCAGTATTAGCCCTGAGAGATAGAAGCAGGAGGAACAGACGTTCAAGGTCATCCTAGCTAGTTTGGGGCCAGCCTGGGATACATAAAACACTTTCTCAAAACCACTAAGTAGCTAACTAACTAAAAACATAGCCTACGTAAAATGGGTAAGTTGGCTGAGCATGGCAGCACATACCTCTATTAGCACTTGGAAGGTGAAAGCAGGTATACCACAAGTACAAGACTAGCCTGGGCTACAGAGAGCCTATCTCCAGAAACAATGAAAGGGGTAATTTGTATAGTATGTGAGTTGGATCTCTGTAAGAAAACCACTCAACTTTCTTTTGGTTCCTTAGTAAACACGGGGCACCTGTCTACACGAGTCCCACAAATGTACGTAGCTCTACCTTCCCCTTAAATACACTGAGTTGCTCGTCCTTGCTTCTGTTAACTATCCCAGCCACAGCGGTTCCTCTGCTCTTGAGTTTCTAAGCCACATATGCCCTGCCTCTCAGCATCTGCAAACTCCTGACACCTTCATTTCCAGATCACCAAACGGATCTCTTTTCCTCCCTTCATACCCAAGCTCTGCTATAATTTTCATCGAAGTTTCCTGGACCTCAAGCTAACTTACGTTAGCTCTTTCATCAGAGTGCTATGACTTAAAAATAATGTTATTGTGCCGGGCGGTGATGGTGCACACCTTTAATCCCAGCACTCCGGAGACAGAGGCAGGTGGATCTCTGTGAGTTCGAGGCCAGCCTGGTCTACAGAGGGAGTTCCAGGACAGCAACCAAAAGCTACACAGAGAAACCCTGTCTCGGAAAAAAAAAAAAAAAAAGTTATTTTGTGTGTGTGTGCGCACGCGCGCAGCGGGCAAACAATGCTCTCCAGCTGCCAGTTCAGTAGACACATGCTTTATACCTCTATAGTGCGGGTTTCCCTTGAAGACAGGATGATTTCATGTCACATGATTTCATGTTCATTCTTGTCATGGAGAATCGGTTCTCCAGGCCTACCTGGACTGAAAGGTGGGAATGGACATCCAAAAGAAACAGGAGTGATTTTTCTAACTTCATTCCCCAATCAAAGAGGACAGTTTCCAATTTGCCACTGATAAGTTTATTACATGATTATTAAGTTCAAATAAAAAAATAAAAACTAAAATTTTGGCAGGGAGGCTGGAGCCAGAATCCGAGAGTACTGTTCCCTGCCCCCAGACTCCCTGGCCAAGACATCTCCTTAACTGAGCTTGACTCGACCCAGTTCTTCAAGACTTGCATCTGTAGCCTGGACATCTCTGCTGCCTTCGCTGGAGTTCTGGGCTCCTGGCACTGGGGCTTTGGTGAGAGCCCCATACACACCCATGGCCTGCAGGGAGAGAGAGCGCACCATAAGGACACTGCAGGAGCTCTGTCCCAAACTCCTAAAAGGGACCACTCAACTCTTCTGTTTCTTTCATTTTCCCTTGTCTTTTTCATCCTGATCTCCCCCTCTTTCTTTCTGAGACAAAGTTGCATTAGGGAGCCTAGATAGGCCTCTAACTTGTGAACTTCCTGTATCTCCTCCTGAGTGCTGAGATCGCAGGCACGAACCATCATACCCAGCCCCTTGGTTTTTCTTGTCCCTTCACGGATTCTAAGCTTTGCACTCAGTGATGAGAATCCTACAGACCATCACACCAGGGTGACTCAGAACACAGACACAGGTATCCACAGGAGCGAGTGGAAACTCTTCCTTCTTAGCTAAGCCCGACACCGTTATTGTACGCTTGTCCTCAAGAGCTCTAACCTGAGCCACCATACTCGTGACGTCGCTGGGATTGGAGGGCAGGAGGACTGTGTTGGAATCCTTGGCAAGCTTGGAGAATGCGTTGACATACTGCTCAGCCACTGTCAGGGAAGCTGCTGCATCTCCATTCTATGGGCACGGGGGATAAAATCCAAAGGTCACAGATTTGGAGAGAGAAGAGAAAGGTCAGGTTCCTGGAAAAGGGGTATATAAATCACAATACAAAGCTCATGTCAACTGGCTTAATGGAGCCCACAATGTCAGGAACTCCCCACAACGTAGATGAGCACAGCCCTTCCATCGTCTGTTCCTACCCCTCACTCCCACCCACCAGCCTCTCACATGTTGAGTCAAAGCCGAAGCCAGGATTCGAATCGCTTCAGCTTTAGCCTTGGCCTTGGCCAGAACTGCGCTGGCCTCTCCTGGGAGGGGAAAAAAAAACAGTTTGACCCATGAAATCCGAGTCCCCCAACGCTCCTGCTCCGGCACCTACCTTTAAAGACCCATGCTGTGTTCCTCTCTCGGGCTCTATGCCACTCACTGCTCACCTGCTGCCTGATTTATCTGCTCAGCCTTTTCTGCTTCGGAGGCCAGAATCTGGGCCTGTTTCTTCCCCTCTGCCACATTGATGGCTGACTCTCGTGTCCCTTCAGACTCTAGAACTGTGGCCCGTTTCCGCCGCTCTGCCTCTACCTGGAAGCCCCAACGACCCCCATCAAGAAGCAGCCAGGGGAAACTCTAACCAGGACTTACAACTACATCTACCACAATAGGGGATTCTAGTCCCATCGGGATTAGAATACCCAAATCCGGTTTCCCACCTGCATCTGCATAGACTCTTTCACTCGGGGTGGCACATGGATATCTTTGATCTCATAACGCAGGCAGCGGATACCCCAGCAGTCAGCAGCCTGGTTGATGGCGTCCACAATGTTGGCATTCAGGGACTCCCGCTCCTAGAGAAAGATAAATGTGAGTAGTACAAGTCAATGTATCTACCGGGGTTAATCTTGATCTCCAGAAAAGATTCGACAGGGCAAGGAATGTGCCCCCAAGCCCTAAGGCCCAGATCTGCTTACTCGAAAAACTTTGTCCAGAGAGAGTTTGCCAAGCTCTGATCTCATGGTCGTCTGTGCTAACTGGGTGACAGCATACTCCGGGTCTTCCACACCATAACTCGCCTGAAAGAGGCAGGCGCAGGGTAAGAAATGAAGATTTTAATGAGGGGCTATTGGGAAGGCTGGATAAAGCCAGGGGCAGGTACCTTGTAAGGATCCATAATACGCAGGTAAAGGACTCCATCTATTTGCAGAGTTACATTATCTGCAGAAACAAAAGAAAGAGAAAAGGAAGGTGGTCAAGCCTCTATGTTCTAACAAGCTCTTTTTTTCCCCCGTAAGCTCTGGATCTATAGCAACCACATCCTAACGCGCTTAGCACATCCCTGTCACCTGTGTCTCTCACCAAGGGTCACAGCCGACTGCTCAGGCACATTGATGACAATTTCCTTGAGACTCTGCACATATCGGATTCGGTCTAACACAGGGATGAGGACATTCAAGCCCTGGGAAAAGAAGTCATGGATTCTGAGAAAAGTGGGAGTAATAAGCTTGAATTCTAGCTGAGTCTGGAGAAGGCAGAAAGTCATGTATGGGACATACCCAGGAAAGTGATAGCTCCTACCAAGACATGTCCTCAAAAGCTGAGGTGTCATTGATAGGGAAACCTAAGAGCACGAGAATGAAAGACTAGGTCTCTGAATGTCCACAGGATGGGAGCCAGCAAGAATAGCCATCTTTAGGCAGACAGGTGGAGCAGAGAGGAGGTTCTAAGAATGCAGCCTGTGGAATACTAGGGTAATAAGGAAAGCAGCCAAACACGCATGGGATGGTCAGGAGACTGGGCTCTGCCAGACCCGGCCCCTGCTAGGGACGGCCCCAGTAGTCAAGGGGCAAAAGGGCAGACAGGTCCAGGGAAGTCCCACTGCCCCATGAGCAGGAGATCCGATCCCTTGGCTGGCGGGAGGTGGACAAAAGAGGTTCTCACAGGTTCCAGGATCCGGTGGAAACGGCCCATTCGCTCCACCACCCAGGCCTCCTGCTGGGGCACAAACAGTAACACCGTGTTCCGGGGCAGTCCGGAGGAGGCGCGGCGCGGAGCTCGGCCAGAAGCCTGCACAGAGCCCTGGAGAAGGAGGAGAGTCCACTGAGGACGCGGCGCGGAACCCCGTCTCTATTCGGAAGGCATCTCCCTAAATCGCGATCCCCGGAGAAGGACTCACGTGGGGACCACGACCTCTGACCCCAGTGCCTCCCCAAAGTTGGAATCCCGCTCCTTCCCAGCCGAGGACCCAGGTGATCTCGGTCCCGGGCCTCTGAAGAAGGTGGCTTCGTTCTCACCCTCAGCAAAAGGGCTCCAGTGCCCCGCGCCGCGCGCGCCAGCATTTCCCACAGCCTCAGTGACCTCCGGAACCAACGAGAGGTGGAGCAGAGCGGCCTCTCCTGCAGCCCAAACCCGAGCCCTTCCTCCTGAAGTTCCACTCCGCCCGACGTACTTCCGGCGTCTCATTCCACATTTTGCCCTCGTCCGTTCCGCCCCCTTCCCCCCCAACCCTCGGCGTACTTAGCAGAGCGTACGTCAAAACGTTCCCGGGGAAACGTAGAGTTTGAAGAGAGAGCCCGGGGCTGCAAGTTTGTTCTGGTTCTCAAGAACCAAGAAGTTCCTGGGTATTGTCGTCGAAATTGAGGCAATATTCTGTCTGCAAGTGGTACAGAAACACCTCCCACCAAGTTCTGTACCCAAAGCCGTGACTCAGTTTCCTCCCCAGCTCGTATAACTGCCTTAATCTGTCGCCCTAACGATCAATGGTTTGGCGCTGACTAGGTGCCGTGGTTGCCATAGTGACATTCTTGGGTAGTCATGCTGTTGTGCTCAGCCCTCCCACTGGGGACTGACCCCATTCCCGTTGCCATGGTAACTAGGAGGCCTAACTTTGCTTGACGACTGGGCGGAGATTTTTCCCTCTTCCCTCTTTTCCCAAGGCATCAACAGCTCTTTCCATATTTTCTGAGCCAGATACTGTCAGGCGTGATTCCCTTACATACAGAGGCCAGCAAAAAGGCTCAGTCTTTCAGTCTGGAGCATGTCACCTTGCTCAGGTCTCTGACACCCTCTCCAACACATCCTTTAAGCGGCCTGTATCATCGTCATCATCCTTGTTTTACATATAAAGACACTAAGGACCTGAAGGGCTAAAGTAACTTACGGAATTAGTGTAAGAATCCAGGTCCTCAGAGGCAGGCGGATCTCTGTGAGCTACACAGAGAAACCCTGCCTCGAAAAACCAAAAAAAAAAAAAAAAAAAAAAAAAATCCAGGTCCTCAAAGTGTAGCTCCTGTAGCTTCGCTTTACCCTTATTATATGAAAAGGAATAAGACTATGCCCCAAGAATCAGCCTGACCTAGCCTAAGATCCCGTGGGTTTTTTGCAGCCTGTAGCTTCCTCTTTAGAAAAGAGAACAGTTCCAGGTCCTATTAGGCCCCACATCTCCATCCACATCCTCTGAATATAGAAAAAAAGTAGAGCTTACTTCAAGTTTCCAAACAAGAATTTATTTTTTTTTTCTAAAAAAAAAATGTACCAGGTACAATTTTTCCTGTTTTTGTTTTGTTTTGTTTTCAAGTTTCAACAAATGCTTGTTCCCCTCAGCCAAGCCCCACGAGTTAAGAGTTGAGGCTGGGTCAGAGTCTTGAGTGGGGAATGGGGTAACTGGGAACCACATGACTGAATACGAGGGACACCCCCTCCTCCCAGCTGAGGTAGGTGGGTCAGAGTCCGGTCAGGAGAGAGGAGGTCCCCCAGTCCTGAGGCCTGACTCTGTCCCTGGACACCTTCCTCAGTCAGGACCCCAAAGCAAGGAAACACAGGTAGAAGAGAGGGGCAACTGAGTCCGAAGCCCTAGGTCAGGGGTGGTTAAACCCCTGTGTTACACATACATGCACATTCTCTCACACACGCACCCCACACAAACCCACGTTTGTGTGCATACTTGCATGTGCACGCTTGTGCACACACACACACACACACACACACACACACACACACACACATTAGCTTTCAAAGATGGATTGAAGGGTAGGGAAGGGAAAGGGAATAGAGAAGAACAAGGGAAGCTGAGTCTTTGGCTAGTGACTCAGGTCCTCTGGAATAAACCCTCTGCCCTTAGCCAAGGGAGAGCAGTTCTTCCCTTGCCCCGACATCAGCTTCTTCAAGTCCTGAGGTTGGAGCAATGTCAGAGTGGGGTGATGCCAATTATCAGGTCTGGGAGGTCACCAAGGCAATCCAATTTGAATAAATTATAAATTAAAAATAAATAAAATAATAAGTGGCCCCTGCCCAGGACAGGGAGGCAACACTGGCATTACTTGCCTAGGAACTTGGGACAATCTCAGGGTAGCTCTGGTTCCTCCCTATTACCTAAGCTGGCCTGGGAAACCCAAGGGAGGGGACAGGCACATGGAGTACCCAGAGTAGACAGGGTGTGGAAGGATCAGAAGCTTTAAACACCCAAATAATCAATGTGGGTGTGAGCGTGGTGGTGGTGGTGGTGAGGGCTTTAATTCAAGCCTGAAGGCGCTCTCGCCATTTCTCCACGGTTTACCCTGTCCAGGATGGAGCTGGATAGGCAGGCTTTGGGCCCACCTCGCTTCAGGACGATGGCAATTAGGGCAAAGGTGAATAACGTGGATTGTGGGGGGCCTCAGTCACAGCCTGCAGTTCATAGGGGAGCCCCGTGTCCAGCTCCAGGCTCCGGCGGGAAAAAAGCAGGCGGATATCTCCATGCAGGCTTAAGCGGCCTGAGCGGGAACTCCGGAACCTGGGGGAAGACAGCGTGAACCACGTCAGCATCCAGATGACTGGGAGGACGAGAAGGATCCTGTCTGAGGGCCGGGGACAGAAACCCAAACCTCCCAGCGCTCCCAGGGCCGGGTGCTCACCTGAGGTGCAGCAGGTAGCAGAGGAGGCGGTGGGCGGGGCTCGCATTCCCCTCCTCACCCACAGGCACCAAAAAGAGGCGATGGCGCAGGAAGGTCATGTGGGCAGCAGGCATGTCCGAGAAGTCAAAGGTCACAAGGAACATCTTCACCACGGTCTGGTTGGGGTTAAATAAGGTCTGGGGACAGGACAGTCCAGGTCGGTCGGGTCTATGGGTGGATCTCCCTCTCTTCCCACATCAGCAACCCCCCGGGGTACCGCTCCCTCACTCACCACTTGGATGGTGCCCACCTTGGGCACACTGTAACCCTTCCTCCCCAGAGGATTCAGGTCCACGACACCCTAGGAAGATCATAAACCATTAGCCAGGGTAGGAACTAGAGACTGACTGACTGCTCTATAATATCTCCCCTTGGACTCGGCTCCACCCCACACTAGAGTTTTGCCCACCTGACCCTGACCAACTCCCAGAAGAAGAACAGGTAAGGACTATCTTTTGCCACTCCTCCTACCCCCCCAACCCCTCTGAGGTAACTTTGGGGTCAGTATTCTATCATACCAAGAAGGGAGCCGGGGCATTTTGCTCAGAAACATCAAAAAAGGTGACAGTGACAGGCAGCGTGACATGCTGGGGACAGTAAGACCCACTGGCTCCAATCTCCGCAGTAAAGCCCTCAATGTGGCCAGATGGTGCAAAGCGTCCTCGAAGCAATGATTCCTGGTATTAGGGGGGAGTAGACACACAGTCTGAGAGTGAGGCCAATCCTTCCCTTCGTCTATTCGAGCCGCATCGCACCACTGAATTCCTCCCAGGAGCGCCTAGTCACAAAGCCCAAAAGGAGTTGTTACCTCGAAGTTGCCCAGCAGGGTACGGCTGACAGCGGGGGTGGGGGAGAGGGAGGCACTGGGAGGGCTCAGCAGGCCTGGCCCCTTCCGGAGGCTTCGGAGGGAGCTTCTGGTGAGAGAAGAGACGCACACGGGGTGATTTGAGCATTCCGGTAGTCCTATTTTCAATCCTCGACCCCACTCTTTGCTACTCCCCAGGGCTCCCTACTATATATAGCATTGGGGGGGGGGGGAATTATAGACGTCTGCTTTGGCTTTCATGGCCAGGGTAGAGGGGGAATCTGGTCACTTACAGCTTCAGGCGACGGGCACCTTTCAGCCTCCGCCCCATGGGACTGCAGTCTGTTGGGTCCTGTGGTGAAACATTGAGAAGAGACTGCATGAAGACCAGACATAATTTTGGAACAAGGACTCACTACCAGTTCTCAGAACATCTCTATAGGTCTCCTCCACCTTCACCTACACAAACATCCACAAGAGTAGATGAGAGTACGCTGGATGTGGTAATTTATGCCTATAATCTTGGCACTTAGGAAGTAGAGGCAGGAGGATGAAGAACTCATCCTTGGCCACAAGGGAGTTTGAAGTCAGTCTAGGCTATTTGAGACCTTGTATCAAAAAACAAAACCAGGAGACTGGGGATATAGCTCAGTTGATAGAGTGTTTGTATAGTATGCACCCAGCCCTGGGTTCAAGCTAAAATACCACATAAACTATGGTGGGGGGCGGCCCATGCCTTGTATAATCCCAACACTGTACTTGGAAGGTGTAGAAGTTCAAGGTCATCTTTGGCAACCTAGGCTTGCCTGGAATACAAAAGACCCTGTCTCCAAAAAAAGAAAAATAAATAAAAGAATCGATGAACTCATCCACTGGCTTACCAAAACAGGCTCCTTGGGCCCGGGCAGCAGGTGGCTCCAGAAGGGTGTGGCTTTGGCATCAGAACTATTGGCAGCAAGAGGGCAGCCCAGGGTTCCCCGGCGCCTCCGAGGGGCTGGCCCCTCTTCCTCAGAGCGGACATCCAGGGTTTCTCCAGCAGGCAGCAGCCTTCGCTTGGTGGGGCAGGGGCCTGGAGGGCCAGGGCCAGGGGGGGTGTGCTCGGGACTGTGCCCATTGGCAGTTCCAGGGGACTCCCTAGGCCAGGGGCTGTTCCCGTTGCCCACCCTAGCCATGGGGCTCTTACTCCCTATTTGTGCAAGATTGTGCAAATCAGTGTCAAGTGTGTGCAGCTGGCCTGAAGGGGCTGGCCCTGGAGACTCCCCCAGGTACCCCTGTCCCCCTTGATCTGGGAAAACCCAGTCTCTGGTGTGCAAAGTATTGCAGGAAGCATTTGATGAGGGCCAAGGGGTACTCCCGGTCCCTGAAGTCCAAGGCGAGGTGGCACTACCTCCCTGTTCCACAACACAGAGGCCATGATGGGAGAAATGCTGGCTGGCCACACCCAGTCCCAGACCCAGTTCCTCTGGGCCCAACAGTCCCACAGTAGATGGTTCTTCAGGGGGTAGTCCCTCTCTGGCCCCCAGCCCAGGGCCTCTCTTCAGCTCCCGGGGACCCTCAGTGGGAGGGGCCGGCCGCTTCAGAGCCCTAGGAGGCTCAGAGGCACCAGCTGGAGGGGAAAAGATGGATACCTGGTAGACCCCGGGGGATGTCGCCCCCCCTGCTGGGCTGTAGCCCATGAGCAGGCCACCCTGGAGGGTCCCCTGTCTGACTGGAGGCTGTGAAGGGCCAGCCTCTGGCTCTGAGGATGGAGACGGCTCCGCCTGCACGTGGCGCATGAAGCCCCCCTTGGGTCAGGGGGGCCCCCCCACACGGCCTTTATGCTGGGCCTGGGCTGGGGGGCCTGGGGACATCTGCAACGAAGAAGAAAAGGCGGTCAGGGAAATCAAGGAGTTTTCTTTCTTCCAGCTGAGTTTCAGACCCCTCTCCCCCCATCATCCTTAACAGGTGACCTTGAGCAGTTCGTGGGGTAAAGTTGTCCAGTGCCAGGACAGATTAATGGAATTCAGAGGCTACTCTCAGAATTCCAGAGAGGTGGACATGTTTAGTTCCCGAGTCCCTCCTTCTTCCTGGCAATTACCCCGATGAAGAAGCCTCAAGCCCAGGTGTGTGTCCCCTCTTCCTGTCTGATGTCTGGTTCCTCTAGCTTTCAGTCTGGTCCATGCCCACTGCACTGGCAAGGTGACTGCCACCATTCCGTGCAGCTCCCGGGCTCAGCTGGACCCTGAAAGAGAAGAGAAAATATAAGCCGGGATCCCTGAAGCCAATGGTAAAATTCCCTCCACTAATATGGGCTATTATATTAGCACACACATCAAAACATCCTCGCCCTGTGTGACAGGCTCTTCAGAAACAGAAGAAGCGGGCTACCTGAGGAGTGAACTGAGAAGCTAGTCTTGCCTGGCTGTATTAAGGATGTGAGAAATAAGGAGAGGCAAGAGGAACCATTTGTCAGGGTCAGTGTCTTGGGAACGGGCCCTGAGTAGTAGGATGAGATGTCCCAAAGATCAGAGAGATACCATGTCAGCTAGTAGGTGGATAGGGCAATAATTTACCTCTCTCATTCAAGGCCACCCAGTTACACAACTCATCTCCATATGTCTATCCAAAGGGGCAAGTGCCACCTGAGAGTGCTAAGGGCAGAGGTCACGCAGATAGTCACACCCCATCCCACAACTACAAACCTCAAGTCAGCTCCAGGCCAGCCCTTCATATCTGCCATGCCAACTGCCCCCAGCCATCTATCTTCTCAACCAGAGAAAAGAAATCCAACCAAAAACAAGTGGTAGGAGGAGAGAACATGGTCAGAGGTACTTTCTAGTTCTCACCCCTCCCCCTGGGCCCTGCAAACCAGAGATAAGGAAGCAGCACGAAGTGGACTGGGAACAACAGGAGAATCTCTCCGGGCCCCTCCCCCAGGGCACAGCCAACACTCAAAAAACCTGAACCATTTCTTGGCTGCCAAGGCACAAAAATGGTCTTCACGGGCCAGGAACCAGTATCCCAGCGATGAGGCTGTCAAGTTGAAGGCCAGCTGTCCTCACTGTCATCCTTATTTGGTCAGCAGCCTGTGAGTCCTACCAGCCACAACGCCCTTTGGCATAATGCTAGAGGCTGAGGCAGGAGCATCTGGAATTTGAGACCAGTCTAGCTACATTTTGAGATTCTCCCTCAAAAATCAAACAAACAAAAAAGAAACAACAAAAGCCAGGTTACAGCCAGCCTCCACTACACCAGAGAGTTCAAGTTCAGCTGGGGCTACAAGAGATCCTGTCTCAAATAAAATTAAAAACAAAACAAAACAAACAAACAAAAAACCAAGCAAGTTGGGTGGTGGTGGCGCATATTTTAATCCCAGCACTCAGGAGGCAGAGACAGGTGGATCTGAGTTCCAGGCCAGCCTGGTCTACAGAGGGAGTTCCAGGACAGTCAGGGTTACACAGAAAAAAACTAGTCTCAAAACAAACAAACAAGCAAGCAAAAATCAAGAAAACAAACAAGCAAAATCCAACAAACAAAAAATACTCTTTCCCACTCCTCTTCCTTGGATAGCTCAAAGTCCATCCCCTCCAAAAGGTATCTCTCCTCTGAGACTTCCATATGATAGTGTCACTATCTTCTGTAACACAATAGTACTTCTGTTCACTTCTGATCATGTCAAACCTGAGGACAGGCCCAATGTTAAACTTAGGAGAAACCCACGACATAAGACTCAAAAAAGCCTACATGCCAGCCCTAGTGATCTGGGCTGCCGTTCCGACAATGCAGAGAAAGGCTCCCCGACTGAGAAGCAGAGAATGACTTGTACAGGGAGAATCACAACAGCAGCTGTGGTGGCAGGAGACAGAGAGGAAGGGGACGTTTACACGTAGGGACTGAAACGCTCTCCTACGTCAGTCCTTCCCATCATCACAGGCCATACCTTCCCCTGTCACCGGGCCCTCTTGAGAACTGAGATCCTAAGACTTTTCTGGTCCTTTATGGTGGCTGAGATGGCTAGAAAGGGGAGGACACTAAACATGGCAGTGTGGTGACAGAGTACAACCTGTTCTCATTGCTTCCCCGCCTCTTCTCCACCCGGGTCTTAAAGTTCAAGAAGGGCATTTTCCTTAGCACCCCAATTTCCAGGTCATCTCAGTTAGCCTCCTGGGCCCTTGCCTCGAGGAAGCCAGGTGACGACATGATGCTCTACGTGACCCCAGCATGCCTGGCATCTGCTCATTAACCCAGAGCCTATTAGTTCCTTCCCTGTCAAGAGACGCTCTAAGACTCACTCCTCTGCCACCCAGCCAGTCTGGCTTTAGACCATGGCTTCCAGCTGACTCATGGGGCAGGACTGCAGGGAGGGGGACAGGCCAGGATAAGCCAAACCTCACCCTCCATGGGCAGCAGCTGGCATTAAACAGCTGTGCCAGACTGTGGCTGCCAAGGACTACAGCTCCCAACATGCCGAGAACAAGGCCAGCAAAAACAACAAGTCCCAGAATACCATGAGGTCTGTACCCTCAGATACTTGTTAGGCCCAGGAGGTGGGAGAGGTTCTGGTATAGGAAGAACACCTAAGGCTCATTCTCTCCTTCCCTTCGGTGTTCAGGACACCCATTCCACCCTGACTAAGGAGTGTTACGGGAAGAATTTCTATCCATGTGTTTTCCACTCTTATCCTATGCAGAGCACTGCTGCTCACTGCTGTACATTTGGTCCTTACCCAAGTCTACACACGCCAAGGTAACTGTTCCTAAGACCACCACTGTGAGTAGGAAGGTCAATCTCTGCTTTCACCCTCCCTCTGGCTCCTGGCCTAGAGAGAACCCTTCACCCTTAACAGAGAGGGAGCAGACCTCAGCAACCCCTCCAAACTCAAACGGGTAGACTCACCTCGGCTCCTGGACTCCTTGTTCTGGACGATCCCCCACCCCCTGTTTAGCCTCCCAGGTCGGTTCTCACTCCCTTCCTCTTCACAACCTGGGACAGGCCCCATACCCTGCAGAGGCTTCGGAGATCTGCACCTTCCACCTAGTACACACTCACCCCGCTCCCAAATTGGCTCCGCTGCGGTGGCCGCTGCTCCGGGCCCTTCCGTCCCGTCCCGTCCCGTCTCGGTCCCTCCCCTCGGATAACCAGTCCCCCCTGCTACGGGCCCCCAACCCAGACAAAGGGTGGCTTAGGCTGAGAGCTTTGCTTTTGCTTGGCTCTTCTTTGATCAGCTTCGTGTGCAACACTAGCGGGCCCTGGCGTCCGAAGCCCCTCTAGCCGCTGTTGCACCCCTCCCCGCGACGGTCCCTCCCCGGGGCCGCCCCGGCTCCGCGCCGCAGACTCCGCTGCCCCTCTGACTCACAGGCCATTTCCTACCAGCTGATGGGGCCGCCCGCCCCGCCCAGCGCCCGGCCACCCCCGCCACTGCGACCACGGCTGCCACGCCCCCCTCAGGCCACACCCTCCATGGGCAACAACTATGCTCATTGGCCAAGTGGAGGCCAGCCTCTCGGCAACCTCAAGTGCGAGTCACGCCCTCTCCAAGGGGCGCACGTCTATTGGTCCACATCAGGGCAGGCCTACCCAATCTTGCCCCGCCCACCTTCTTAACCCTTTTTTCTGTCCAAGTCCCAAGTAATTCTCTGCCCTGCCTTTTAACCCCTCCAGACATCTCAACAAACGCTTCTCCTCCACCCTTCCTGTTCTGAGGTACATTAATAGGAAGCTCCAGGGCTTTTACAGATACAGCTCAACAATCTCCACCTCAGCCTACTTTTCTCATACCAAACCCAACCCTGTTCACCTCTCCCAGCATTCCTAAACAGAGCTCCAAGTGAAGAGGGTTGTTGCTATCCAGTAAGCTTCCTATGGGTCAGACAGGAAGAAAAAGACCTGACGTCGGACCTTATCTCCATCCAGACTGAAAGATGGTCTTCTTAGTTTTGTTTGTTTGTTTGGTTTTTGGTCTTTGCTAGAGACCCCAGCCAGGGAGCTCCTGAGACAGGAATACATTTAAATTTCAGGGACTCAGGCCTCATTCTTTGTGTCTGTAAACTCTTCTCAGAGTGGGCTTGGAAGCACTTCTTGCTGAGAGGTCTCTGCTCTGCTTGAGGAAGCTCAGCATCCTAAGAAATGAGCTAGAAGGGCTTCTGCCCAGTCACTCCTGACATCAAGCTCATCTTCATGACTCACAGCTCCCTCGAAACTCACCAACCTCCCCCTGAGTCACTGGGCCCCAGGCCCAGCCCAGATCCAGCCAAATTAAATGGCAGCAGAATCAGCATCCCTAACCTTTGTCCTTTGGCTCCGTAAATAACCAGGGTGGAATCTTTGCAAGGTCTGGGCATTCACAGACACTTTTTTTTAGAGGGACTGCTCCAGAGATAACATAGGAAAATGGATAGCCTTGTCTACCTTGTCCTCTGAACTTAAGAGTGAGTTAGACAGGTTGTCACCAAATCAGACCTTTCCTCCCAGCCAGTCACAGAAACAGGAAACAAACACCAGAACTCAAAGAAGCAGAGTTCATTCCTTCATAGTTTAAAGACTTAATAAGGCACAAGGCCCTTTTTGCCTTGCCTATGCTAAGAATCCCCCAGGAACATCAGTCATGACTGGACTGTAGAAAGAGACACCCCCCCTTCCCCTACTTCCTCTCTGTGTTCTACAATTAGATCCAGCAAACAACAGTTTTCTAGGAGTCTTTCTCCTTTCCTGATGAGTAGGAACCCCCCCCCCCAAAAGAACCCAGTTCCTTAAGATTGACTTCCCTGCAAGCAGCAGGACTTTTAAAAAAATGTCAAAGCTCTAACAAAACTGCAGAATATCAATGTGAGAACCTATCTGCCTTAGTAAAGCTCACTAGGAAGACAGAAAGAGACACAGACCATCTTAGAAAAACCCTTAGCAACTCTACCTTGTTCTGCCTTACTATACCATACTTTTAGTTCTCAGTTTTGTACAAAAATCAGGGGATAATACTAAAGGAGTCAAGACCAAAAATATTCCAGGCCTCAATATGCCCTGGGGACAGTAGCATGGTTCAATCATGCATGAGGTCATAACTAGCTGCGCTAAACTCTTAGCTTGCATTTCTGTTGTTTTGATTTTTAGAGCCAAGATCTTGCTGTGTGACCTAGGCTGACCTTGAATTCATGATCCTCCTGCCTTAGCTTCTAGAAGGTTAGGGTTACAGGACTGGGTGTTTTGTTTGTTGTCTTTGCTTTGTTTCTTTGAGACAGGGCACCTAGTAGCTGTGAGACTGGATTTAACTCTGGTAATCTCTTGCCTTTGCCTCTGGAGTGCTAGGTTTACAGGTGTGTGCCACTAGACACAGCCTGACTTAAAAAAAAAATATTATGGTGCTGGAGAGATGACTCAGTGGTTAAGAGCACTGGCTGCTCTTCCAGATGACCCAGGTTCAATTCCCAGCACCCACATGGCAGCTCACAACTGTCTGTAACTCCAGTTCCAGTGGATCTGACACCTTCACACCAATGCACATAAAATACATTTAAATAAAAATAAATTATTTAAAATTTATTATTATAATTATTATTGGTTTTGGTTCTTAGGTGTGTGTGTGTGTGTGTGTGTGTGTGTGTGTGTGTGTGTGTGTGTGTGTAGCTCTGTAGACCAGGCTGGCCTCAAACTCACAGAGATCTGCTTACCTTTAATGAGTTTGAGGTCAGCCTGGTGAGTTTGAGGCCAGCCTGGTATACACAACAAGTTCCAGGACAGCCAGGGTTACACAGAGAGACTCTCTCAAAGAAACAAACAAACAAAATTATTCACTGCTGGGAATGGTTGCACATGCGTTTAATCCCAGCACTAGGGAGGCAAAGGCAGGCTGATCTCTGTGTGTTTCAGGCCAGCCCGGTCTGCATATGGAGTTCCAGGCTAGCCAAGGCTACATAGTAAGACCCTCTCTTAATATTTTCTCCTTCCTCATCACTATTATTGTTGTTATTATTATTAGTGTGTGTGCATGACGTGTGAGGGCAGATTAGAGGACAGCTTGGGGGATTCTGTTCTCTCCTTTCACCATAAGGTCAAGGACAGAAATTAGGCCATCAGGTTTGTACAGCAAGTGCTTTTACAAGCGGACTCAGCTTACTGCCCACCCCCCTTTTTAAATAAATTGCAGCTACCCCTAGCTTACTTCTTCTTTTTTTTTTTTTTGCGGGAGGTTGGGTTTTGTTGCTTTTTTTGAGACAAGGTTTCTCTGTGTATCCCTGGCTGTCCTGTAACTCGCTCTGTAAACCAGGCTGGCCTCGAACTCACAGAGATCCATCTACCTGCCTCTGCCTCCTGAGTGTTGGGATTAAAGGCATGAACCTCAATTTAATTTCTCACAAGCATACACATGGGTTTGTTTTTTGTTTTGTTTGTCTTTCTTTTTCTTCTTATTGGAAGCTCCCTGAGAACAGCAACTCTGTTCTTTGTGCTAACATTCTCAGAGCCTGGCACATAATAGATATTCAATAAAATGTAGTGAAGAAAACAATGGGCCCAGATACTGAACAGCAATTTGAAAACTTGGATCTTAACTCCTGCTCTTTCACTATGCAGCCTTAGGAACCAGTTTCTTTGACCACAAATTTGCAAATTTAAAATGAGAGCTTCTGAGCTGGGTTTGGTGCTGTGTGTCTATAATCCCAACATTCGAGAGGTGGACACAGAAAGATTAGGAGTTCAAAGTCATCATCAGGTATATAGTGAGTTGGAAGACAGCCTTGGTTACTTGACACCTTATCCCCAAGCCCAAAACAAAATAAATAAATAAATAAACAGACAGACAGACAAAGAACTAAAATAAGGATTCCATTAAACAACGACCGTTGAGGACATCTACAACCCTGGCCTTATAATTCTAATGGCTGATGTGCACTCATGTCCATCACAGAGGATGGGCTCAAGCAACTGCATTCCCTGCTGCTGGCACTAAAGCAGACAGGCTATATACTCAGCATAGCAAACTGCTGGCTTTTCTCTCTCTGCCCCACCCACTCACACAAAATGCCCAGGCCCAGAGGAAGCGTGAATGCCTCGGCCCTAGGCCCGCCCCTCTCTGATAAAGAGCGTCTGGGAAGCAGTGTTGCCATAGAAATCAGTGCCTCCTCAAAAGGCTTCGGCCTGCCCTTCTTTACCCCACCCTACCCCATGGCTTTGTCTGTCCTGAGCACACCCCCCCCCCCCTTCCTCAGCCAGGCTCTCAGCCACTGGGTGGCTGTGTGAGAAGCCTGGCCCGGGGCCCCTTTCAGCAGCAGAGTCACAGGCATTCAGTCACGGTGTGGAAGGCAGCCCTTTCCCACCCTCCCCAAGCCAACCTAGAGGCAAAAAGAACAGTGGCACCACATCGAGTCTCTTTCTGTTCTGACAGGCTCCTTCCAGCCCCAGAGTGTAGGGAGCCATTCTCTCTTCATCCCCTAGCTGGGCTAGAACCTCTTTATCCCTTCCCAGGTCAGGCTTACTTTACCATAGTAGCCCACCTTTCCAAGCACACTGGACCTTCACTACTTCTCAGCATTTTCCCTAGAGAACCCCTAGAATTTCTGAGGATCCTCTGATTCCCCACCCAGGGAAGGACAAAAGCAGAGAAATCAATTTTGGGCAAGAGGTAAAATGTGGCTGCCAGTCACTTGGGATTTCCCGGCAGAGATGGTGGTGGTGGTGGTGGTGGTGGTGCGGTGGGATCTGAGCCTCCATGTTGGTTACCGGGGTCTCTGACCACTAAGAGCAAAGTCTGGAGCAGGTCATAGATCCTAGACTGGCAAGAACCAGGCCAGGCCCCAGTGTGAGGAAGGAAGTGGGAAATGAGCACACCCAGAGCATAAGGGCAGGGCAGGGGGTGGGGTGGGGTGGGCAGAGACCAAAGCAGGCTTCTGGAGGAACAGGAACTAGGTTGGGGATTGACAGGAACCCGGTGACAGAAGGGTCCCCGGAGACACTAGTTGGGGAAGGTATCCTAGCCCCAGCCAGCCAGATTCAAAGTAGGATCAAGACACAGTCACACAACCCCGTGTAGCGAGCAGGGCCTGCCTGTTCCCTGTGTACCCACGACAGAAGGTGCGGCTAGGAGCTTAGCATCCAGGAGCACTAGACAGGCTACCTGGTCAATTAAGTCCAGGACCCTCACTCCTAGAACGTAGACCACAAATGTCTTTCCGGGGTCCCTACAAGGCAGCAGAACGTTACTTTCTAGAAGTACTGGGATTCTCCCCAGCAGGGGGCCCACAACTCCAGCCCTTCATGTAGTACCCCACAGCCCATCCCCTCTCTCTACACAAGCCCACCGACTCTCCCATACGCTGGCCCACCAGCCACTTCCCATCACATAGACCCCCATTCTCCCGAAGTTCCTCCAAATCGCTCAAGTATCACCTCCCAC